CTGTTTATTAATTTTTTTGATTGTCACTGATTCATAAGCTGATTTTTCATGTGTGTGTTTCATAGTATGTTAGAGCTTTTTTTTTTGAGTGATGTGTGTGATCTTTCATAATAGCCCGCTTGTTCTTTTGCTCTAATATGTTCCCATAACATCGCTTTGGTACAAAAAGATACTCTGTACAAAATCAGTGAACCTGTTTTTTAAAGATGGTAATGTCATTTGCGAATCACAACCAACAGCATTACATATTATGCTTTGGCCCTTTTTTACCACAACAAATGTCTTGAGAAACACAATGGTTAAAGCAGCCAATTAAAGATAATGTTAAAAAGTCAAGGTTCAAGAACTAAAGCAAACACTGATCTCCATCATGGTAGTGTCCGAAAACAACAACATCTAAACCTCTGCAACTCTCAATAAGATCTTCTGTAGATGTCTGACGGAAATAAAGTCAGTCTGGTTAGTAATGTGAAGCTGGTGATGCTGTTAAAGTCAAACTGGTTAGTAATGCATGAAGCTGGTGATGTTGTTTGTGGAGTTGTTTAAAGTTGTTTAATCAGATCTTGAGAGATTTAATGTCTTTTATTTCAGCTGATTTCATCCAAGGCTGTGGCTGAAGTCAGTTTTAGTTCTTGAGTTTCTCTTTTCTTCAGTGATTCTGCTTGTTAACAGCAGCTGTTCATCACTAATGCTCAATCAGCACTTAATTAATCACAGAATTATCTCAGTAACTTCAGCACTGCTTCACTCTGTAGTGTGCACACATTATAAGTGTTCATTTAAAACTGAGGATTTTGTTGTGGGGTTTAAAGGGTTAAAGATGTAAGATGGAAAAGAACAGCATGAAATGTAATTCAACAGCATTAAACTGTAATTAATTTACGGTTGCCAGTAAATAACTGTTTTTCTACAGCTTGTTGCGGTTAAGTCAAGTAAAAAACAGCAATATACTGTAAAATTTAACAGTCAGATTAACCAAAGGGAAAAAGTTATTTTTACTGAAATATTAGTGAAGGTCCACAGAAAACAGTTATGCAAAGTCATGAACTGATAAGGAGAGTAAATATTGAACTGAACTGTATTATTGTGTTTTTGCACAAGAGAGATCTGTTAGTTTAATGTAGTTTTGTAGGTCACCATTGTCCTGGAGAGTAGAGCCTGTGCTTCAGTCAATGATGAGCCACAAACACTGATGTTCTGCTGCTTTATTTAAAGACAGTAACTGTGCAGTTGATGCAGTGATGATCTCTGTGTTAAGTACTTCAGCACATGCATGTGTGCTATAGCTAACAGTGAACCGCAACGATTTGAGTTAAAGTCATGTTTTTAGTTATTTTGCTGTTACACATTAAGTGTTTGCAGTTTTATACTAAGAAATATTCCTTCTCAGTGGACTCAAATGAAATAAGTTCACAGTACTAATATCGTCTCAATGCTAGTTTTTAAACTGTTTGAAGCAATGGGAGCGGAGTTAATTCCCATGGTAGAATTACGGTAAAACACTGTAAAAATTAAGAGTTGTAAATTAACGGTTGGGAGCTGTAAATTAACAGTACCTTACTGGCAACCCTGCTGCCAGTAAATTACTGTTATTTAACGGCACAATTTTTTATAGCATGCTTTTCCCCTTGAATGTGCTTCTCCTAAGAGACATTTTCATTAGATTTCGCTGTTATATAGATGACACCCAGTTTCATATTTCTCCACAACAAAACTTCCTAACTCTCTCAGTTAACAGAGTGTATTAATGATATAAATCATTTATTTTAGTAAATTATGCCTAAACACAAGTGTTAATTACTGGATCAAAAACCTTCACACACAAGATTCTAGATCTCAAAGGATGTGCAGTTATGTGATTTCCCACAGTTAAGAACAGGTGTTGTGTTGACATTTATTTTTTCTTTAATAATCACGTTTCTAAAGATTGAAAGACAGGATTCTTCCACCTTAATGTGATGGAGA